AGGAGGAAGGGAGAAGGAACATGGAAAAGTGGATCACTCGGCCTTTCCCTGAGTAACTTTGGCGGCCTGGACGGCTGACATCTTTTGAGTCCAGCCTTGCGTGGGCTGCGGTTTCTTCACGGTGCGGAGATCGTCGGTGGAGAAGCCGGAGATGCGCATGTTGTAGTTTCTTTCCAGGACGAGTTGGATGTCGCGGATTTCAAGCGTAGAGGATGGGCGCAATTTGGCGAGACGGCAAGCAGCGGTGATCACGTCATCAACGAAATCGTCGGCCATTTGCAGGATGAACTATCGTGATGATTTAGCAAGCCGTGCACAGCGGGAAGCAGCCCTAATGCGAAGAATAAAACTTACCTCTTCGGCGTCCGGCGTAAGCCCTTCACCCTCTCCTCCTCCGGTGACCTGGCGCACCAGGATGTCAAGCATCTTCTTGCTCAATACACGCTGGCCTTCGCCTTCAAGGACGTAGCCAGGATGCTTCTGGATGGCTGGTTGGCCCATCATGCCCATGGCGCCATGACTGGGGCCGCCGGACAGAGTGGGCCGAGCTGGTGCCATGCTGACCGGCTCTGGAGGAGGAACGTTGAGGTTCTTTGGAATGGCCATGTTGATGTTACGCGCTGAATTTTCCGACGCGCGATTGGAAATATACCCCTGAGGATGTGCATGAGGATTGGCAGCTGCTTGCGACACATTTTGTTGAGCCATGTTATTGTTCGCGGCGTTGTTGGTATAATTCTGAGCAGCTTGCGCCATCGCAGCTTGATGGGACAAAGGACGTGGTGGACCCTGTATGTTGATTGGCTGTGAAGCTGAAGGAGTGGGCGTCGAACCGTCCGGATTAGGGGTTTGGCTAAATGTGACCTGCGCGCCTGGAGTCCCCTGTTGCGAAAGAGGTTGCGGTTGCTGCGGTTGTGGTTGATGGGGAGGCGCGGCGGGAGCGGCAGGTGCGGTGCCTGCAGCTTGTGTGACGGGCGCTTGGCCCGGCTGAGTCGTGGAGGGAGACATGGCCGCTTGTCCGGCTTGATTTCGTGCCGCATTTACAGCAGAGTTAATGGTGTGAGGTGCCGGAGTGGGGGCTTGCCCAGGGTGCATGGGTCCGGGGACATTCACTGGACGCTTGTCACCGGCAGTGGGCGCAGGTGTGGCGGCAGGCGCAGTCCCAGTCGCAGCAGCAGCCTGCTCTGCAGTCCCCTGTGGCTGTTGAGGTTGACCGGGCGCGGCGTTCGGTAGACCTGCTCTATTCAGTTGCTGGTTCTGCTGCTGTGCCTTGAAGGATTCCTGTTGCTCCTTGAATTTGTTCAGGAAGTCGCTGCCTTCTCGGTAGAGCTTCTCCGCCCCGAGCTGCCGATTTTTGAACTCCTGCACCTCTTCCTGGCTCATGTTCCCAGCGGCCTGTCGCTGCGCAAACTGTTGGCGCAGTTCCGCGATACGTACGCGTCCGATCTCCTGTTTCTGCAGCGCAATACCGTATCGTAGTCTTGCCTCTGGCAGCCATGTTTGCACCTGTTCTTTGCTGATATTGGGAGGGAGGAAGAAGTGAAGACCGTTTACTTTCTGTTGGATCTGTGGGAGAAGCTGAGAGAAAGACTGTGGGTTGGCGGACTGCGTACGTTGAACTGGCTGTCCCTGCACGGCTGCAGCTGCCGCCTGAGCCTGTTGGTGCTGCTGCAGTGCTTGCTGACGGTTTTGTTGATACATTCGCATGCCTTTCATCAGATTCTGAGAGAGCTGTGTGAGTCTCATGTGGGCGTTCTGGTATTCCGCACTCTGCGGGTCCCGGCTGTTGAGTATCTCCCAGAAATTGCGCACCAACTGGGTGTGCTGAGCCTTTTGCTGCTCATTGAGATGAGGTAATTTCTGGACCTGGTCTGTCCGGATTAGGTTCGAGTGCTGCTGAGGCGGAACCATAGGCTGATTCGCCTGGGCCTGTGAGCCATCCATGTTGGTCGGCAGCGACAAATCTCGTAGTCTAATCGGGAAGGAGGAGCTGAAGGGGTATACTAAGGCTCGCCAGGGGAGCTAGCTGAACGGAACAAAGGAGGTGGCGCTTGTGACGAGGTGACTTTGAAGGTGTTAGTTGGAGGTCAAAATCGTGAATTCGACCTGGACTGCGTCGTGATGGTGAGAGGAAATATACTCGTAATAACCTCGTAACGCTGGCAGACGGGTCAAAATGATTCCCGCAGAGTGGATTTCAGACCCCAGACGCAGCCTTCCAGCTTGAGAAAGGGATTGATAAAGCCTGGTCAGTCCCAGTATCCAATGAATGATGGCGGAGAGGAACCGGAAGGGAGCGTTGGAGCCTCAGGCTTGGCATCGCAGCCTTAAATGCGACGAACACTGTAGTGCGCCTCACTGATGGTGATGTCTCCATATTCTGACCTCGTTACTGAGCTATTGACTCGGCTCCTATTGACTGTACACTACTTCCAACAATCTTATTGCGCTATTCACAAGTAGATTTTGAGACTAGCATGAAACTCGGATCCTAGGCATACTTGACTTGTGCATCGGAACCCCATAGTAAAGTTGTTAGACGGATATGACCAAAAGCGCTATCTACGTAGGAGGGAGTACAACGACGATCTCTGATCGGACATGTTGATCTCCCTACAGCGCGGATAATGGAGCGCAAATGTTGTTTCGAAGGAGAGCCATTGTGATCAAACAGGCCATGTAGATAGAACCATCAACTGTTTGCTCAGATTCGGTGAGCGAATATTAAGATACAGATGCGCTGATTCTCAGTGTCAAAGAAGGCTTGAAGATTATCCAGGTAAAATGACAAGTGAGAGTCAAGCCAGAGTTCCTTCAATTTCATTTCGGAGCGATTGCTGAGGAAAGGACTGCTGCAATCATATGACCCCTATTCCATTCGTAAACCAACCCAACCCATACACGTATAGTTGAGCAGACAATATCGAGATCTACCAAGAGAAGCTCGTCACCTATTTGAACATTCGACTGCTGTGTCTCCGCTCAATAGGGTTCTAGTTCCGAGGACTAACGTGCTGTCTGAAGACAGTTCAAAGGATGAAGCCTACAGCGTTCAGGCACATCGGGCAAGCGCAGACCGCCCAGACTGACCGGGCTGGTTCGGTGCAAGTCCCAGAAATCTCGTTTCGGCTCCCGCATGAGCGCAAACATTCAAGTGTTCATAGAGTTGTCTGTTCACTTTCCTGATCGGATTCAGCCAAGGAACGTACGTGGCAAAGGCAAAAAGAGATTGCCAATCAACCAATGAAAGGATTCAGCAGCCATGACGGTAGCTTGTCGAGGCCAAGAGGGGCTCATCCTCCTGTCTCAGACGCTGAATATGAGGCGTTGAAAAGTGGTCGACCGGATGGTTCAGGTCATCAAGCCACCCAAATCCCTTTCCATACCGCTTACACGCGCTTCTAGAGCTCGTTTCTGCCTTTCTAACTCTCTGATCTCTCCCATCTCTCGCTCAATATCGGCGTCTGTGACTTCCGGGGGTGCGGTGGTAGAATTGTCATAGTCGTCGTACTCCTCCCCGTAGGAGTGGCTCATCTGCTCCAATTCTGCAGTGTTCCTCGCTACTCGTTCTTCTAATTTAGCAATAGAATCACTGATCAGCTCGTGACGATAACGTAGAGTCGCAATTTTCTCCTGGGCACCAGCAACGGGACTTCACGAAATCAGCACCAGCAAACAAAGGGTAATTCATAAGAGCAGCTTGCTTACTAGACATTGCAGAGAACCTCCGCCCCGCGAAGAAGAACGTCAATATTGACCTCACTTCGCGTTCCCCTGGCTGATGTTCCCGCGGAGCGCTTGATCTCGTCCATCATGTCAGAACCTAGGACTCTTGCGACAGCCGACTGATTTCTGTTATTTCGCGCAGCATAAATCCGACTCGCCATGGACTCTCCGTCGACTTCGGATTGAAACATTGTTCCCCTCCTCGTTGCTCGCCGTTGGGACTTGGCAGACGGGTCCGTCTGGAAAAGTGCTCGTTCATGAGCTTCGGTATCGCGGATCAAAGCAGTGATATCGTGAGGGCCCAAAAGAGCATTGGTGAATATGCGAGGTTGGGGAAAACTGTCAAAAAGCTCGATCAGCACAAAGTCACGAAGAGGACAAGGCCATACGCTTACGGTAACTCGGCGATGGCATTTGAGGAGAGCTGGATTTGCTCCAGATGGTTTTCGAGTAAGGACATCGTTGAAACGGCTAACTATTGAGTTTTGATGAACAATGATGATTGCCACAATATAGTATTCAGATCAGTGCTCGGGGTGCCTCATTAAATCAAAAGATAGTACTACAGGCTACTCTGTAGATAGACACTCCGTAGACAATAATATTACTCCGGATGTAAACATCCAATGGCGGCGGCGTTGGGTCGCGTTAATCACCGCCAAGAAGGAGCTGCCGCCAAGCTTGTTGCTGCCTGAGGCCTCAGTCGACGCTTTCAGGTGGCAACGCAACTGTTTTGCGACCGACAAACAGAACAGTTCACTCTGCAGCTGTGATCCCTAGTAGAAAGAAGAGATATACCTAGACTGTACAGCTGTTGACCAACTCACAGCTTAGTAGGACGAACCTATCCCTATTTTTTTTCTTCTTATATGTATTTCAGTAATTCTGTTGTCAATAAATATAGTGAGGCGAGTATTGTTCTGCAGCTGACCAGCTCCAGCATCACATCAGCTGCCGCTCCCAGTAAGTTAGTTAACTAAGCTTCCCCCAACTGACTAAGCCCTGTGCTGGTTCTCTCGCTGTCCATCCATCCATCTCCAGGTCAACCTTGACATCACATCACCACTTCATCAACTCATCTTCCCCTACTCACCGAGGCACCATCTCCCACCTTTTCTAATTTTTCTTGGTTCTTCAATCCCTACTCTTGTCCCTTCGTCATTCTTTGCAGACTTTCTTCTTTTCCTCGGACATTGGTCCTCTTCTTTGCCCTTCCTCCGTTCCCCGGTTCCTGCAATCGCTTCTTGCTCAGCCGAGCTTCAAGTTGAAGAAAGATGCCGGCTGAGAGACGTTCGTTGCGATCGAACAGCAAGTCAGATACTTCTTCATCTGCTAACGGTGAAAAAGCGCGTTCCAACTCGCAGAGCTCAAGTTCCAACAAGGACAAGGCCGCGCCAAACCGCGCCGCCGCCAATAAGGCCAAATCTCCCACACCGGCGGCTTCGTCCAATAACGTATCTAACTCCGGTATGGGCGAGCAGCGTGATCAGCCGCATACCAACGGCGTGAACGGTTCTGAAGATATTGAGATGGGAGAGGATACGGCAGGTGGGCCTACATCCTCATTCAACACCCGTAAGGATCGGAAAGGTGACGAGAAGATGACTGTTGTAGTGCCCCCGTCCAAGGGTTCGAGGTTATCCGGAGAGAAAGGACAGAACCAGGAGGAAGATGTTGTCATGGAGGCCGCAGAGACTGATTCCCAAAAGCCTGAGTTGGAGGTTGATCCCAGAGTCAAGGCCATTCAAGGTTCGTTTCTTTTTCCCGCTGCTGTCCTAATGGATGCATGCCTAACCATCACCGTTATCACTTGGGCTGTAGATATCAAGACCAACTTCACACTCCTCGAGCGAGCTGTAGCCCACTTCGACCCCAGATTTACACTGCGTGTTCTCAGGTCGATATCCTCAATGCGCAAGCACATCACTGCTGATGTGCTGGCAGAAGTGATCGTTGAGACCTACCCACCATCAAGTCCTACTGCTTCTTTCTTACTGGAAGCTATTGATCAATCTGGCGCATACGAGAGCGCCCTTGCTAGTTCGAAGATGGAGGTCGATTCGGAGAAGAACAAGTCTGCTCCCAAAGAAATACTGCCAGAGGTTGATACCTATCTATCCATCCTCGTTCAGATCTACCTCTACGACAAAAAGGATATTCAAAGGGGCGCGAAGTTCTCGACAGCGTTGACTGAGCGTCTGCGGACTCTTAATCGTCGCACGCTAGACTCTCTTGCTGCTCGCGTATACTTTTACTACTCCCTCTTCTTCGAGCAGGTTGCTCCCCTTCCCCCATCTCCTGCTGCGGCGGTTACCTCCATCCGCCAGCCCTTGCTCGCTGCCCTTAGGACAGCCGTTCTCCGGAAAGATGTCGATACTCAGGCCACCGTGATGACCCTTCTCCTGCGGAATTACTTGTCTACATCCCATATCTCGCAGGCTGACTTGCTCATCTCTCACAACCGCTTTCCGCCTTCTGCATCGAACAATCAGATTGCTCGGTACCTGTATTATCTGGGCCGTATTCGTGCGATTCAGCTGCAATATACGGATGCTCACGGGCACCTGATTGGTGCCACTCGCAAGTCTCCTTCGAGTCACAGTGCTCGTGGTTTCTACCAGGCTTCTCACAAGCTGCTTGTAGTTGTTGAGCTTTTGATGGGCGATATCCCCGATCGTGCAATCTTCCGCCAGCCTGCACTTGAGCGCGCTTTGCACCCTTACTTCTTGCTCGTCCAAGCGGTGAGCGTTGGAGATTTGGATGGTTTCTTGAACATTGTAAATACGCACAGTGCAACGTTCCGGAAAGATGGTACCTACACCCTGATCCTGCGTTTGAGGCAAAATGTCATCAAAACGGGTATCCGAATGATGTCGTTGTCCTACTCTCGCATCTCGCTTCGGGACATTTGCCTGCGTTTGGGCTTGGACAGTGAGGAGTCGGCAGAATACATCGTCGCCAAAGCGATCCGCGATGGTGTGATTGAGGCCACCTTGGATCATGAGCATGGATACATGAAGAGCAAGGAAGTCGGAGATATCTATGCCACTCGCGAGCCTGGAGAGGTGTTCCACGAACGTATTCGGGCTTGCTTGGCTCTGCATGATGAAAGCGTCAAGGTAGGCTTTCAATTGTTTTCAGCTAATTTTTGCTCGTCCCAATTTTCCGGACTGCCTTTTGAATTCATCGCTAACATCTGCCTCTTCTTCTGTGTAGGCCATGAGATTTCCCATGAATCAGCATCGCCTCGAGCTCAAGAGCGCACAGGAGGCTCGGGAACGGGAGCGAGAGCTCGCCAAAGAGATTCAGGAGGGGGACATTGATGACGAAGAGGCTGGCGGTGATTTTGACGCCATCTAGTGGCCCAAAAGACTGCCTCTGCTCATATAGTGACTCTGCTCAGCTTTGCCTCTGCCAACTGAAAATGGTTCCCAGGCTGGGCTTTTGCAGTCCGAGTCATGCTACGCTGCCCGGGTGTGTATGAGGGGGAAGGTTGCTGAGTTAAACTTGCGGGCGTGATTTCTCCACATTTCCTGTATTCACAGATTTATTTCGCTTCCGGTTACCAGGACGGATTTTGTCTTGTAGATGTCGTCCGTCCAGCTGGTCATCTTACCTTGGTGGGAGTCTCAACAGGATCTCTCTGTAATCTCCATTTACATTTTAGACAAGAAAATCTCAACGCGTTTCTTGTAGAAAGTATCTTACGAGTTGCCACTTCCATTTAGAATAACTTGCCGTACTGGCCAATGCTTTTCACACGCCCTTGAAAAAGGTACGAGATACCCGAGTGATTAAGCGTGATGGCGACGTGTTCTGGTCTGGCCTTGGAAGCCGTTATCTGCGGTCGTCTCCCGTTCCGGCCCGAGCGCAGCTCCGTAAGCTCGAAATCTTCGGTCTTTTTTGATAACTGCGGAAACATTATGCACTCCGCAAAGTGAAAGGCACACGACGCCTTGAATCGTTAGGACTCTCGGCTTCTGTTGGACCTTATTGTATTTGTTCTTTTAGATTGCGACTCCTTCTGAAAACTAATCATAGTTACTCTCGCCTGAGCATGAGAGCTCGAACGGTTTCGGCCTCTGGCCTTGTGCTCTCATCTCGAAGAACACCTTCCACCTCGATATGCTGGCAATGCCTCCGCGATGACCTTCTTTCCAAACAATTGCAGACACACCTTCGAAACTATCACCCAACCCGGCGGAAAGATGCCTCCCCCTTGGGCGCTGCCGTCTCTGCAGCACAGACAATCTTCAAAGGTCTACCAAAGGCCCCTCCGGGGATCTCGGTGGACCCATTGAGGATTGTAGGGAAAGAGCTCAAGTTCCTAACGAAAAATATTCGTCAATTGCTCGGCTCGGGACATCCGACTCTCGATAAAGTGGCCAAATATTATACCCGAAGCGAGGGTAAACACATGCGTCCCCTTCTGGTGCTGCTCATGTCTCAAGCAACTGCCTTGACTCCGGGAAAGAGTCGTCCAAACGATGTAGCCCCAATTTCGGTCAATGATCCCATTTCCTCACCCTCTATACTCGCCGACACGAACCCGGATACAAACAGCCTTGTTTCACAGTCAGCCGAGGCCCAATACGATTTTGCGGGGGACGAGAACATCCTGCCATCCCAGCGACGACTCGCTGAGATTACCGAATTAATCCACACTGCATCGCTTCTCCACGACGACGTGATAGATAATGCCGTCAGCCGCCGGTCGTCGAACTCTGCGAACCTCCAATTTGGAAACAAAATGGCTGTTCTGGCCGGAGATTTCCTGCTAGGCCGAGCCTCCGTTGCTCTAGCGCGCTTGAGGGACCCCGAGGTCACCGAGCTCCTCGCCACTGTGATTGCCAACCTGGTTGAGGGCGAGTTCATGCAGTTGAAGAACACTGTAGCGGACGAGAAAAATCCCGTTTTCACCGACGAAACTATCTCGTACTACTTGCAGAAGACCTATCTGAAGACCGCTAGTCTGATTAGCAAATCATGCCGCGCAGCTGCATTGCTTGGTGGTAGTACACCCGAGGTGGTTGAAGCTGCTTATTCCTATGGACGCAATCTCGGCCTGGCGTTTCAGCTGGTGGACGATCTGCTGGATTATACGGTGAGCGCGGTCGAGTTGGGCAAGCCTGCTGGCGCAGATCTGGAACTGGGACTTGCGACTGCTCCGCTGCTCTTCGCTTGGAAACAAAACCCTGAGCTGGGTCCCCTAGTGGGCCGCAAGTTTAGCCAGGAAGGAGACGTACAAAGAGTAAGTGGTGATTTCTAGCCTTGGAAAACGATTCATCTCGCAGCGGTGTGATAAGACCGAAAGCTGACAACTCGCCAGGCCCGTGAGATTGTGTATAAGAGCGATGGTGTCGAACAGACGCGCGCTTTGGCCCAGGAGTACGCCGATAAGGCCGTTGCTGCCATTAGCGATTTCCCTGACAGTGAAGCGAAGAGTGGTCTGATCCAGATGTGCGAGAAAACCATGAATCGGAGGAAGTGAATTACTTAAAAGGCAGCGGCAGCAGTCCGTCGGAGGACGGTATATACCAGCTGGGGCTCAGGAATAAGTTGTCTACACATTCTCCCGATTTCATACGCTCTCCTCATCCAACCACAGATTGACCAAAGTGTACAGCCATCGATCGCGAAGTGCGATCGAGTGTGACATTATCCTTCCACTATCCATGTATCATTAACCCTCTCCTTCGATGATTGCTAGAATCTGCATTTTTCTGTCCCCTCTCACCAATATATGCCTTCCCTTTGTTTGTGTAGCTGGTTGACAGCGATAAGAAAGGCCAGGGACATATGATAATGAGACAGGAAGACATAAAGTGTGATTGTCAATAGATCCAATGTTTCTTCATGTGATTCTTATGGGACCATACATGTTTTGCTTTTATTAGATCATCAAATGCTGTATGTTATTATTGCGACTGTGGCATTATGAATTCATTTAACTATGAGTGAGACATGGATTTCTAACGTGCTATGATGCAGTGATGATCGAGCGCTAGTTATCTGACCTTGAGTGACTGCCTAAATAGGTCATCTTGACCACATCTTGAGGGTATTAAGCTGTAGCCCTAGTACTCCGTAGCATATAGGAGGTACTTCAGGAGAGTTCATAGTATTGGACAGATAGATAGATAGACTGCACGTATGAAGTAGATAATAAACTGCTCATTCCCGAATTATTCATCTACTAGTCGCCGTCTCAACCATTGCTTCAAAATGGTTTCAGATTGATGCTTTCACACTCCTGCAGGACTGTATTCATTGGATGGATCTAATTGATATTCCATCAGATGATTGAGCAGAGCAATGATGATCCAGCTGCATAGCACCTGCTGATGCTGATTTGTGGAGTTTCGTAACGTCCCTCATTCCAGGCCCACAAGTTACAACTAAACCCAGTTGGGACAGCTATCGTCAGGTGCCGTCATAGGTCGATTCCGAAGGTAGGGATCTGTTATTATTACGAGCGGAAGGTACGGGAGCAGAATTGAGCAGTAATTTCACGGCAGTCACTTGCATACGCATGAACTATCTATCTATCTACTCCTGAGCTATTGAGGGGTTGAAGACCGAATAAGGAGTATCGACGATCCTGGTATGATAATGTCGATGGTGGTGTTGGTTACTCATGTTTGCCCTTGAATCGACCTGACTACCTAAGTACCTAGCTCGCCGGCTGTCTGTTCCACGTGAGACAGAGTACAGCGATACATTATTGTATTTGTACACGACTGTGCCTGAGTCTCTCTTGCTCTCATTCCATGTGTCCCTGATATCCTTTTTCTCCTCCTTGAATATCTTCCTACCTCCTGAACCACTCATTCCTTCTCTGTCTCCTTGTCGTCCTATACCACCTGCCACATAGTGTGCTCCTTCCGCTATCTTGCCTGTGGCTCTATTCCCCTCACATGGTCGCAACAGTGGTACCGACGACAATGGAGCCTTTCCTGCTGCTTCTTTGATTGACTTGGTCCCGATGGGTTCATTCGGTAGTTTTCTTGTCGCATACTTTATCGGCGGACTCACCTTCATCCCGCTTGTCCTGTCGCTGGTTCTCCTTCATGCGTATCTTACGTTTCCGCGCGCTTCCCCACCCTCCGATCATCCAGACGGACCATCTCCCGATAGCATTCAACGACCGACCGATGATCAGTTCAGTCTGAAATCTGGCACGGATGAGCTAGCAGAAAAGTTTCAGCGGACTCACGAGTCCGATGTCGCTGCCGGTTATTTTGCTGTCTGTCGCGAGTATGTCCCTGGTGGAGTCAATGGCAAGCCTCCCGAGAGAACCACCCCGGCGGGTGAGGTGATCGCCGCTGAGAGCCCCAGTGTCTACCAAACTATGTACCGGAGTCTGTTTGATAGGAAGCAAACGCCGACGATCGAGCCTGCGAAAAACAATGGCAAGAACGGGAAAAGGGCCCGTAATGTGTTTTACATTGTTCTGCGGTAGGTGTCGATTAGTGCCGTCCCTTTGGCATTCCTCAATGCTGACCATATCGCTGGATAGACATGGCCATTTGATGCTCTATGACGATGCCAACCAGGTGGAAGTTCGATACGTCATCTCGCTCGCGCACCACGATGTGAGCATTTACGGTGGTGAAGGAGAAATCTTGGAGGGCGAACTATGGCTGAAAAGGAACGCCATTTGTCTTTCGAGGCGGTTGGACTCCCTTGGTGACCTGGGAGGGCCGACCCCTCCGTTCTACCTCTTTTCCGACAATTTATCAGAAAAGGAGGACTTTTACTTCGCTATGCTCCAGAACCAGACCAGAATGGGCGACTTTCCAAATTGTCCGCCCAAGCACCAGCAGTTTGACGTCAAGCATATTGTCACCCTAGTCCAACGCCTACACTCATCCGAGGAGCAACTGCAGACGCGGTGGATCAATGCCGTGCTCGGCAGACTGTTCTTGGCTTTATACAAGACCCCGGAGGTGGAAGACTTCATTCGGCAGAAGATCACGAAGAAGATCTCGCGGGTCAACAAGCCAAACTTCATCAGCAAGATCTGTTTGCAGCGAATTGACATGGGCGAAGGTGCCCCTTTTATCACCAACCCGAGGCTCAAGGACCTGACGGTCGACGGAAACTGCTGCGTGGAGACTGACATCCAATATACCGGCAACTTTCGCCTTGAGATTTCGGCCACTGTTCGCATTGACCTAGGTCCTCGTTTCAAGGCACGAGAAGTCGACATTGTGCTCGCTGTAGTTCTCAAGAAGCTTGAAGGCCATATGCTGATTCGGTTCAAGCCCCCGCCCAGTAACAGAGTGTGGGTTTCTTTCGAAACAATGCCAAACATGGTTATGGACATCGAACCGATTGTCAGCTCGAAGCAGATCACT